GAGCTAAGGTTTGCAACAGGATGTGTATCAAGCACAATGAAATCGACAGGGAAGTAAAATTTATCAATTTGAACTAAGACATCCTCAACTACTCCCCTTGGTGTACGGATACTACGATCCGCCAATTGAAGTGTGATTGAGGTGGGCTTCAACTCCTCCAGCTGCAGCTGTTGGTACACCGAGTAGGGAAGAAGATTCACACTTGCCCCCAAATCGAGGAGTGCTTGCTCCACTCGATAATTTCCAATGGTGATGGCTATGGTTGGACAACCGGGGTCTTTGAATTTGGGAGGAGTGTTAGTCCTCAAAATTGAGCTCACTTGCTCGGTGAGGAATGCTTTCTTGTGGACATTCAGTTTTCTCTTCACCGTGCATAAGTCCTTCAAAATCTTAGCACATGATGGAATTTGCTTGATGGCGTCGAGGAGTGGAATGTTAATCTTCACCTGCTTAAACATTTCCAAAATATCAGCATAATTAGCCACCTTGACAGGTGGCTTCAAACGACTTGGGAAAGGGGCAGGCATGGGAGGAATAAACACACAATCATCAATTAATTTTTCTTTCTCAACAACCTCTCTTTCTTTCTCTTCACGCACCTCACTCTTGTCGGCGTCACCAAGAGATCTTTTTCTTTTGGCAATGTGGTCTTGGGTGAGACCGTTGGCAAAATGGTTTTGTCAATTTCTTTGCCACTGCGGAGGGTGGTGACAGCTTTGAGTTGCTCGCAACTCTCTTTCGAAGGTTCCGATGACTCAACAAGGTGTTGACCCCTAGGGTTCTCTTGTGGTTGAGCGGGGAACTTCCCCTTTTCTTGTTGAGATGCCCCTATGGAGTTTGTCAACTTTGTGAGTTGGGCTCTTACATCATTGATGGCTGTGGCATTTTGGTTATTGATGGCGGTTTGGCTTTGAATGAAGGAATGGACCATATCCTCCAAATTCCTTTTGTGAGGAGGTTGGTATGTGGATGGATTGGACGGTCCTTGAGAAAAACTTTGTGGAGGTGGATTTGGTGAAAAATTCTGTGGTGGTGGGTTTGACAAATACCCTTGTGGATTGGTCGGGGGTATTGAGAGCTAGATGCTTGCCCTTGGCCATGGTATTGGTTTTGCTTGGGAGGCATGGGAGATGCATATGCACTTGAACCATGAGGAATGAGGTTTTCATTTCTCCAACTAAAATTTGGGTGATTACTCCAACCCGGATTGTAAGTATTTGAATTGGGAGAAAATGATTGCCTCGTTTGGTTGAATGCATGGACTTGTTCATGGTACGCTTCTTTAAGGGTCGGAATGTTTGGGCAATCCGATAGGGAATGCTCCATACATTCGCAAATTGAACAACCCTCCTCGGTTCGTGACACATTAGACACCTCGTGTCTCTTATTGACTTCAAGACTCTCAACTTTCCTTGACAATTTAGCAATTTTTGAAAACAAGTCTTCCCGGTCTCTCAAATCATAAATCCCTCCCCCTTGAGTTTGGCCAGTCTTTTGAGGAGAAGACCTTGGTACATCGGTGGGATCTGTAATGTCCCATGATTGTGCATTTTGTGCCAATGTATCAAAGTAATCTAAGGCCTCATCAGGGTCTTTGTTCAAAAACTCCCCATTACACATCATGTCAATGAACTGTCGATGGCCCGGTGTGATTCCTTCATAAAAGAAACTCACCAATTGCCATGGTTCAAAGCCATGATGTGGAAGGGATTGTAGCAATTCCTTGTACCTCTCCCAACATTGATAGAATTGCTCATTGGGCTTTTTTGAAAAGTTTTGAATTTGCTTTTTTAGGGCAGTGGTTTTATGCACCGGAAAGAATTTGTTCAAAAACTCAGAAATCATTTGGCTCCACGATGTGATGGTTCGAGGCCTTAAGGAAATAAGCCACATTTTTGCCTTGTCTTTTAGGGAAAAGGGAAACAATTTCATTCTAGCTATCTCTTCCATCCCATGATTGGGGAGGAAGGTTGCAACCATTTTCTCAAAATCCCTTATGTGTGAATAGGGGCTCTGAGTTTCAAATCCGTTGAACGTGGGAATTAGTTGCAACATCCCTGGCTTAACTATGAAAAGATGAGCTTGGACCGGAAGGAGGATGCATGATGGTGTGGTGCTTCGTGTTGGTTGTAGGAAATCTCTCATTGACCTCACCGGGGATCCATTTGAAAATTATTCCCCTCATTCACGGGAGGGGAAAAATTCATTCTCGGATTGGGTATTTGGGGTTCTTGTGGTCCCCCCTTTGGACATTTGGATTTGCTCCCCTTTGGACATTTGGATTTGCACCTATATTGTCAAAATTGTCACCCGCATCCTCGGGTTGTTCTTGGTCAATATTCATGGTAGGGGCCAAATTTTGTCTAACAAGTCAGTTTCGGTCGTTCCGCCTCCACATAAAACAAAATATATACAAACAAAGTTATACACAAACAAGATTATGTACACGGAACAACGTACCTCAGCCCATGATGAAGATCATGGACTTACCTCCGTCGTCCGAAAATCACCTTCTTGGTTTGACACTTGCCTTCCCCGGCAACGGCGCCAAAAATGCTTGACAAATTTCCTTGTTGTTTCCTAACCTATAAACATCACCTTTTAGCATGTATAGTATATGAATAAAGGGGAGTGTCACTCTCCTAGGGATGATGTCAAAAGAAAGGGCAACGGAATGGTGGATGAATGAGATTTCAAATGTGAGTATGTGTGAACAAAAGTGCTCCCCAAGCGCAAGGAGACTTTCGCGGATCGTGTTTTACTTGGTGGTATTCCAAGGTCGTTTCCACGGGGAAGGAAGTAAACCGAGGGGAGGTGATTTTGGGAGAAAGAAAGTGTAAAATCTTTGATTGTTGGAAGTTGTTTGGTGAAGTTGTTTTGATGCTAGTAAAATGAGAAACAAATGTTGGCAAATCCAAGAGGTCACTCCAATAGGAATACCATCTCAACTCGAAACCCTCCTCCAATAGAGCATGAATGAACGATTGATTCGTGGGAAGCTAGGGGTAAGATTGGTGAGTATCTAAGCATAAACCGTGACTAGGCCTACGGAATATCAAAGACTCACCAAGTTATCCACCCTCAACCCAGTCAAACCGAACCATTGAACTCTGAAAGAGGGGAGGAGAATGAGTTGAAATGGTATACCCAAGTGGAGGTTCCTCTTGGTTTTGCCAACTAAGAGATTTAGCTATTCATGCTTAAAATAAAGACAACAATATGATGAGAAGACATTATGAAAAAATAAAGACTAAAGCTAAGCATAAACGAATTGCATAAATTTAACTTCCGGATAACCACCTCTTACTAAAGATTGGATGAGAAACTACTCACTCTTCATGGCTTTGTTAAAACTAGAAAAGTGAGTGATGCTCATCCTTCCAAGTAGAGGAGTTACAAGGTAACACATTTTACACAAGGAGTCGATATTCAACAAAGAATGAGTGAATTACGTTCCACCCTTAACGACTTTGGTAAATCTCTAGAAAAGTGGAAGAGTTTCACTTCTCTAAGGGAAAGAAGGAAGCTCAAGCAATGGAAGTAAAAGAGCAATAACACAATAAAAGAAAGCAATACTTAAAGTAAAATAAAGCAATAAATTAAAAGGAAGCAAGAATACAATAAAAGAAAGCAATACTTAAAGAAAGCTATAAATAAGGAAAGCAATAATACTTTTAGAGGGTTTTCCACTACCAAAAGATGAATGTTTTACAAGTCCTAAGGGGTGGTATTTATAGGCAACAAGGGAAGGTGAAAGTCTTGTTAGGTGGCCTTGAATCTTGTTAGGTGGCTTTAAATCTTGTTAGGTGGACTTGAAAATCTTGTTAGGTGGACTTGAAAAGTCTTGTTAGGTGGCCTTGAATTCTTTGATCCCCCTTTGTTTTGAGCTTTGATAATTGGCACCCGAGTAGTTTATAGATTTAATGCAATTGGCTCCCCAGTAGTTTGTAGCTTTGATGCATAAAATTCTGAAAAGAACAACAATTAATGCATTATCCTTTATTCACACACTAATTCTAATTTGATTTATTTTGATTAGTTTAACTTTATTCAACTAACACAATTTACCTATTAAATTATGCCTTAATTAGGGTTAATCAGACCCCTAGACTGAGGAGGAGAGGAGAACAAAGTAAAGGCACGATAGACAGGCCGAGGTAGGGCCTCTCCATTGCCTCAGCAACAGCAACAACAACAGCAATAGCAAAAGCAACAACAGTAAGATCAACAAACTCCCCCTTAGCTGTCGCCAAAATGGCGTCCTCGAGTTCGAGATAGGGATTCTAGGGTCATTTGGGTCAATGACTCCGTCCTCTATGATCCTCACGTGGCGTACGCCGTGAGTGAGAGTCTGCTTCTCTTTCGAGCTGACGTGGAGGAGAACCGGGGGAGGTCCATAAATCAACTATTTTGCTCTATCATACAAACCTCACTGGCGGTAAGTTTTAGGTAATTGGAGCTCTTTTACCCCTTTCCCCAAGTTTGTTTCATCGGCCTGATCTTTTTTCTTTTGTAGAATGCCTAGCAAATTTCTGTCATTAATGAGTGCTACCATAATCAGAGGCAGGGTCTCCACGAGGCTGAGAGGCTGAGGACTGAAGCTGAGACATCCCTAGCTGCCGTCCGAGAGGACATTGTCGCCAGGGATGTCACTCTTTCTTCTCAAGTAGCTCTAATTGCCCAACTCCTTAAGGACGACGAGGCCGCCAGGGTTAGCACTAAAAAGCTGAGTGCGGCCCTGGAGGATGCTGAGAGGAGGATAACGGGGCGATGCAAAGGCTATCAGCTGCAGAGGAGCTAGACAAGGTGAGGGCCGAGGCCGAGGCGGCAAGAAGTCAGAGGAGCAAATTCGAGATGAATTTGCCGACGACATCCTCAAAGTCCTCGAGTAGAACAAGAGGGAATTTTATAAGAAAGGCTGGGACGCGGCACTCCGAGAGGCAAGGGTCCCTCTGGACTCTCCCTTGTTCCAAATGCATGTGTACATGCCCTCTGCGGAGATGCTGCAGGCCATGGCTGAGGTCGCTGTCGAAGAAGCCGCAGAAGCTGCAAATGCTGCCAACACTAGAGCTTCAGTCCCGGTTGACAACGCCCTTCCCCAAGATCCCCTAGCTCTCAAATCGACAGAGCCACTCGTTCCTCCTGCTCCTCTGGCCGACATTCCCCAGTCACTCAGACTTAAGTTTTTTTTTCTTTTAAATTTGTACTCTTTCCTTTTGCTATGTAGCCTTGGGAATGCAAAGCCCCACCTTTTGGAATGAAAATTTCTCTTTTTCCATCATGCATGCTCTCCCTTGTTTGTGTAACTTCTTGTATAAATTTTAACTCTGGAAAACTAACCCCAGACAATTTTTCACTGCGGTGTTGACCTTCGGGGCCAATAGATAAAGGGCATAATGGATCCTGAGGAGAAGTTGAACATGAGCTTGAATGGAGGTTTCCAGTGTCCTCGGGACCGAGTACCAGTGAATAAGACATTTTCACTCCGATTAGCTTCATCTTCAACGCTGATCAATCTGAGGGGGGTGGGGTATCCACTTGCCCTATCGACCTGATTTAAAATACCCGCACCCATGTACTTGTGCAAGCACTCTAGTGATCGAACCGGTCTCCCGAGGTGTGGATAGACAAACGCGTGTCCGAGGGATCCTAGATGAGTTTACAATAATTCACTTATGTAAGATGCTGCATGGCGGAGTATCCTTGTTCTAAGTAGATTAGCCGATTAGCACCCCTTCTAAAGGGTCATTTTTCATTCAGGAGTCACACTCTTGCTTGATAATTGAAAGCTAGGTTTCCTAGTCTTCGGTCCCCAAGGTCATGCCTTTTCCGAGAGGCTAGCTCCTGTTTTTATTTGGAAGCAGGAGTCCTAAACTCTGTTTTGAGGGTCATGCCTTTTCCAGGAGGCTAGCTGTCACACCCCCACCCCGGATCACATAGGGTGAGCAGTGGACCAGCCACCAAGGTCTTAACCAACCATCCCTGTGCATAATTAACACAAAATACAGCGGAAGACAAATAATAAATTGATCATTTTCACCGACCTAATGAATACCAGAGAAATAAACTAACATCACTGACATTATTACTAAACTCATGTAAAACAATAATTAATCCATAAGGTTCACTACTCTAAACAAAAACAACATTGTTCTCAAAACAATAGAATACTTGTCTCAAAACTGTAAAAAAATATTTATTCCTGAAGACCTGCAATAAAATAAATTTTTGATTCTTCTAATCTCTTGTCTATCCGAGGACTTACTCCTCCTCTTGATCCTCACCTGAAAAATGTTAAATATTTGGGTGAGCACAAAGGCCCGTGAGTAGCAACCATCTCTAATGAGATTTGAAAATAAATCTCACATTTCATATACAGAGAAATAAAACTTTGTTATATACATACATACAATAAATTGTACCACAATCCCTTTCACATAACCATGTAAACAAAATGATCTCATGATCATAATATCTTTATAAAAAAAAGATATTTATAGCTCAAAACACTTACACACACATTCAGTCTCAAATACACTTGTCAAATCATATTTGTTACCACTAGCCTGGTAACTGGTCTCATCTCTTGTCATCACTAGTCTGATGATTGGCCCTGTCTTTTGTTATCACTAGCCTGACAACTGACCCCTATGTGCACATCCCTATACCGACCACACCGGTGTACAATCTCGTTACCCTTTAGACCTGGTAACCCAGTCCCCTTCTCATAAAACATAATTTCAACACACACACTAAAACTATTGTTTTAGTCCCATCGCACACAAAATATCTCTTTCATCACCAAAACCATTTAAGCAATAATATAAAATCATCTCATAAGTTTTGCAAATTCACATGTGTAACAATTCACAATTGCAAAAACATTTAATTGCAACCCCAAACATCAACATATATCATATACATGAAAAATTCACACACACGCACTCACAAGTTTAATATAGAAAATCCTTCCATAAGAAGTAATAAACTACTCACCTTGATTTCCAAAATCTAAATCAAAGCACTATTTTCCAACCTCAATGCAATCACCACCTAATCCAAAATAACATATAACAATCAATCCCTTTTTTCTTATTTCGTTGTTTCGTGATTCTATATTTAATTTTTATACTTCCTACTTATTTATCTATACTCAATATATATTTTACATATAAATATCCTTTCTAATATGAGGTAACTGCGTATGAAAGTATTTTGGACTATTCAGAAAAAGTTTCTAAAGTTCTGAGGTCAAATCATATTTTTTTAAAATTTTTGGTGTCTATGTGTAATTTCCTTAAAAACGAATTTTCTGCTTTCGGGCCTGCCATAAATTTTTTAGAATAGTATTTAAGGTTCTAGAGACCGATTTTCCAATAATACCACCTCAATTTGATTTATTAGTGTAACTATTGATATTTAAACACTTAATCGAAACTGTTAGGGGTCGTTTCAAAATTTCAGAAATTTTTCAAGACTCGGGGGCTGTTTTGACATAACCATATTTGTTTCAAACATTCTGGGTAAATTTTATAAATTATCAAGTCCATAGTAGTCAAAAATTGAGTTTATCAAAGTATAGGGATCAAAATAAAACTACTTAAACTAAGGGGGAGGTTTCCATAATTCAAAACTTTATCTTCTTCACCAGCCGTCTATAAGCTTCTGGTTTCCTCCTTCTTTGTTTCCTTTTTGCTTTGTTAAATATGAAATCAATTCTTTAAAGGCCTCACAAAAAAAAAAACCATAAATCTATACTATGTAAAATCAATTCTTTAAAAAAACATTAAATCAATTCTTTATAACTTCTAATAAAACCCATTTATATATACTTCACTATCTTTCACCATGAACACACACACACACACACACACACACACACACACACACACACACACACACACACACACACACACACATATATATACGTACATAAGCTTAATACTTTGTAATTGAATAACTTATAACCCTACCAATATAGATACTATCGTTATCTCCCTTTAATGTCACTTAAGTCCCTCTAATTTCTTAGAATTACAGTTTTAACCGTAATATATTAGCGTAGAACTAATTTTATATTTTCTAAATAACTTCCTCTCTTTTTATTTATTTATAAAAAATCCAAACGCATACTTGTATCGGGTATTACACTAGCTCTTGTTCTTATTCGGAAACAGCAGTCCTGGACTCTGCTTCTAGGGTCATGCCCTTTCCAAGAGGCTAGCTCTTGTTCTTATTCAGAAACAGAAGTCCTAGACTCTGCTTCCAGGGTCATGCCCTTTCCAGGAGGCTAGCTCCTGTCCTTATTCAGAAGCAGGAGTCCTGGACTCTACTTCCAGGGCCATACCCTTTTTAGGAGACTAGTTACTGTCCTTATTCGGAAGTAGGAGTCCTGGACTCTACTTCCAGGCTCATGCCCTTTCTAGGAGGCTAGCTCCTGCTCTTATTCGGAAGCAAGAGTCCTGGACTCTACTTTTAGTGTCATGCCCTTTCCAAAAGGCTAGCTCTTGTGTTTATTCGGAAGCAGGGGTCCCGGACTCTGCTTCTAGGGCCATGCCTTTTTTAGGAAGCTAGATCCCTATCCTTATTCGGAAGTAGGCGCCCTGGACACTACTTCTAGGGCCATGCCCTTTCTAGGAGGCTAGCTCCTATCCTTATTCGGAAGCAGAAGCGCTGGACACTGTTTTCAGGGCCATGCCTTTTCCAGAAGACTAGCTCCTATTTTTATTCGGAAGTAGGGGTCCCAGACTCTACTTCTAGGGCCATGCCCTTTCCAAGAGGCTAGCTCCTGTTCTGATTCGGCAGCAGGGGTCCCGGACTCTACTTCTAGAGCCATGCCCTTTCTAGGAGGCTAACTCCTGCTCTTATTCCGAAGTAGGGGTCCTAGACTCTGCTTTCAGGGCCGTGCCCTTTCTAGGAGGCTAGTTCATGTCCTTATTCGGAAGTTGGAGTCCTGGACACTGCTTCTAGAGCCATGCCCTTTCCAGGAAAACTCTCTTGCACAAAAATGAGCTTTTATTTATTAAAAGTAGTTTCTCTTTAGATTCATTACATTCCAAGGTCGTGTTACAACATGTCCTGTCATGTCTTCTAACCGGTATGACCCGAAGCTTCCTACAGATATGACCTTGTAGGGCCCTTCCCAGTTCAGTCCCATTTTTTTGTTTACTGCGTCCCGGGTGTTTACTACCACCCTTCTGAGCACTAGGTCTCCTACTTGGAACTCTCGGGGTTTGACCTTCTTGTTGTAGAGCTTGGACACCCCCTCCTGGTATTTGGTCAATCTTAAGACAACCACTTCCCTTCTTTCCTCTGCGAGGTCCATATCCAAGCTGAGTTGATGATCATTGTCTCCAAGGTCGAAGGCTTGTGTTCTTATAGTAGGGGGACATCCTTCTAGAGGGATAACCGCCTCCACCCTATATGCGAGGGCGTAAGGTGTTTCTCCCGTAGAGGTTCGAGGAGTGATCTTGTATGCCTACAGGATGTTCAGGAGCTCGTCCACCCACTTCCCCTTAGCTTTTTCAGCCTTTTCTTGATTCTATTGATGATAGTCTTGTTGGAGAATTCTGCTTGACCATTAGCTTGAGAATACGCAGGGTTGGAGTTGTAATTCCTGATCCCAAGATGCTCGCAAAAAGATTTGAAAGGTCTGCTATTAAATTAGGTCCTATTGTTCGATACAAGTGCACGAGAGATCCCAAATCTCATTACTATGTTCTTCCACACAAACTTCTTGGTATCTATGTCCCTAATATGGGTCAGTGGCTCCGTTTTCACCTATTTGATGAAATAATCAGTTCCTACTATCAGAAACTTCTTGTCTCCTAGATCCCTTGGAAGAGGTCTAACCAGGTCCAGTCCTCACTGAACGATTGGCCAAGGACTGGTAAGCGGATGCAAGTCACCCGCTGGTCACCTGATGGCCAGCGTGAACCTTTGACACTGATCACATTTTTTAACCTATGTCTGAGCGTCCCTCTACATTCGTGGCCACCAGTAACCCTGGGACATGATGCGGTGGGTCATGGACTTTCCACCTTAATGCCCTCCATATATTCTCTCGTGTACCTCGTACAAGAGAGGTTCGACCTTATCTTCTCGGACGCACAATAGGTACGGTTCGGAGAACGATCTTTGATACAGTTCTTGTCCAAAGAGACCCAA